ATATCCAAAGGAAATGAAGACAAGTGACTGAATTGACATCTGTACTCCCAGGTTAACAGCAGCATTATTAACAATAGCCAAGACACAGAAACAACCTAAGTGTCTGTCAACGGATGAATGGATAATGATGTGGTATATATACACAATGGAATATTATTCAGCCATGAGAAAGAAGGACATCCTATTGTTTGCGACAGCATGGATGGACTCTGACTTATTTCACTTGGCATAATGACCTCAGACAGAGAAAGACAAATACTGTATGATATCACATGTGGAATCTAAAAAAGCCAAACTCATAGAAGCAAGGACTAGAATGGTGGTTTCCAGGGGCTGGGGGGTGGAGGGAAAAAGGGAGATGTTGGTCAAAGAGTACAAACTTGCAGCTATAAGATGAATAAGTTCTGGCGATCTAATGTACAGCATAGTGATTACAGTTAATAATACAGTATTATATACTTGAAAGTTGTTTAGAGAGTAGATCTTAAATGTTCTCAGCACAAAAAAGAAATGATAATTATGTGACGTGATGCAGGTGTTAGCTAATGCTGTGGTGGTAATCATTTTGCAATATATAAGCATATCAACACGCTGTACACCTTAAACTTACACAATGTTATATGTCAGTTATATTTCAATAAAGCTGGAAACAAAAAAGAACACTCAAAATTTTGTTCACAGTATCTAGAGCATAGTAAAAATACATGAAGCTCCATTTATGCTTAATATGGAAAACTGAAGTTGTCCCTGAGTTTAACTTATGATAAAAAGTGTCACCCAACTGACGAATGTGGAATTACCAGGAAAGGGCTTCCTATTCCCATCTGACTTCTCCATCAGCCCATCCCACCACCCAGCACTGCAGCGGTGGATGGAGGGAAGAGTGTTCAAGGAGAAACCTACTTGAGCTGCTGCTGGTTGGCTCGTAAAAGCCTGCTGGGGCGCTTATTTTCCACAGTCCAGACTCTGAGGAAGGCTGGGGATGGGATGACAAACTCCGAGAAGGAGGGCAAGGTCATGGCCTAGAAAAGAAAGACATTTCTCCAATGGTTTGAAAAAGTATTCTTAAAAATATATTGCTTCAGGAAAAAAATGAAGCACTACATAATGACATCTAGGGGAAAGCATATCTCGAGTAATGGTAAAATCTATTCAAAAAAATCAAAGGAATATCTCTTAAATGAAATTAATCCTGAGTCATTTTTGTATTCCTCTCTACTGAAATCAGCTTGAGGGAGAAATGAATTTTCTATTTCTAAGTCTGAGCCAAAAGCCCTTTTTAATCATTATGTTTTAGAAAATGAAACTTTAAAATTAATTTTTGAAAATAACTCACAAGAGCAGAGGCCACTCTAATAAAAGCAAGAGATTCACCTTCACCTTTCATCACTGCTGATATAATTCTTCAATACCGTATGCTCTGCCAAGGACATAACTTTTGATTTTGAAATATTTCAAAATCTTTGGATCCAACTGCTAGGCCTAAACTGCTGTACTAATTCTTTAGGGGTAAATAACTATTTATATATTTAGGTTGTAGTATATAAAATGGCCAATATTCATCCATTTTTTTTACCTAAAACAGCAATTCTATATCTTTTAGTCCAATACAAAGAAAAAAAGTGTCTCCCCTTTGGTTCTCATGAAAACAAGATCATTTGCGTTTTTTGAGGAAGATAATTTCATACATTGAGGACACACAGGAAAAGTCAGGTATCAGTGACTGATTCATACTATATGCTCCCACATTTTTCCCGTTAAGAGGAAGACAGGATGTTCATTTCAGTCCAACAATACTGAGATGCTTCTTAAGCACTGTGTTTTGTATTCAATCCAGCCTTTCCATTTGGACAAAACACTCTTTCTCTATGAATGTTAATGTATAAGAAAACAATACAATACCTAGTTTAACATCCTAACATAAAGCTGATATTCTGACCTCCCGGGAAACTAATAACACACCTTTTAACTAACAACATTTAACACATGGATCACAATGATACAAAAACGATGTAAATAAAGGGGTAAAGTGAACGCTTTACAAATGTTTCAATAAATCATGTTTCCCTGAAAAATCAAAATAAACAGAAGCCGCAAGTCACTGAGGATATATTCAAATGAAAGCACAGCATGCCTCTCAGAGTAGGGATAAATGAAAGCCACAAAGGCAATGGCAGAAACAAATACAAGGGAGCTGTCTGAGCCATATGGTGTGTGTCGCCTGTTGGGTACTTACCACTGAACATGGCATATAACAAATGCCCTATCAGAACAGACTGTAATTGAGGGAAAAGGAAATAGAAGAATATATTAATATCTCACTGGAAGAAGCCAGACCACCACTAAGGTACGCTGCAGGACGAAGTCTGACCTGAGACTTCAGCTCCATCAAGGTGGCATCTTCTGAGATTTCAACGTCTCCCAAGTAGTGGAGGGAAACTTCTGCATGTCCGTCACCAGGAGAATCTACAAAGGACAGGGCTAGATGTTTCAAAGGAGCTTTAAATGTATTTATTTCATATTTCTGAAATCCATGCCATGTTTTGATATCCTAAATAGTTTGAGTACAATTCCATTCAAGAAACTCGTATTCTGAGTTCCTCGAATTAGCTTCCTCATGACTTCAGGGGGAGGAAGCACCGCCTGGGAAATCAGCAGGCAGGGAGCTTGGCTGTTGGCACAATGCCATGGTTTTCTCACTATAATGGGTTTGAGGAATTTTATACCCATGCTGTCTACATAGAATGCTCTTTTCCACAGGCTCTCCTTCCTCACAGAGGACTTTGCTGGTAGGTTACTCTGCCCTTATTCTTTATATTACCTTCCTGTTTCTTTCTCTCATAACACTTATCCCAACTTGTTACTCTTTTGTTTGTATGTGTACATGTATGTGTACGTCCCTTTTTTTTCCCTAATCTGTCTCCCCAAAAGAATATGATTTTCAAGAGAGGGTAAGCCATCTATCTTGTTCATCTCTCTAGTGCCTGGTATGGTGGGTGCCACATAGCAAATGTTTATTGACCGAAGGAATCCCTGACCATAGGAAGACCTTTCTACATCTGCTTAAAAAGGGGAAAAACAAAATGCTCTCTCATCTAAAACTCTGGATTATAAAACATGGTAACTAAATTTAAAATTCAGAATAATTTCACTCATTTTTGCTTTAATTAAATGTCTTTGTTTACTGCTGGGCACACTGCTAATACATAATAAGAAATTAGATTATAAGTAAATTAAGTGAAAAGGCTCTCTTCATGAGTGGTTCTTCTTGTATCTTAAGGACTCTACAAGCTATTAGACACTCTTAGGAAACTCTCAGGAATGAAAAATGTTTCTCATATGTTGTGATAATAGAAGGACTACCAAAAAACGAACCTGTTTCTTTACATTCATAGAGAAACACACTCATTAAACATGCTTTTAAAGTTTTTATCCAACTCTATAGGTAATTATTATTCTATCACCAAAGCAGTTTTAGAATTAGTTAACATATCTAATACAATACAACCGAAAAATAACCTAATGCCAATTTCATAGCTAACTCAATATGGAAATATTTTATTGCTCTCTACATATAATCCTAACTTCAAAGAGTAAGGAGATAAGAATTTGACTCGTTTATATTAATTTCAGTAGTGAGGTTTAAAAGATAGAAAGAAATGTAAGTATATGATACAATACTTCAAGGCACTAAAAAAAGATAAATAAGTAAAGCATGATAAAAAGAAAAAAGAAGAGTTGGCCCTACTAAAAATATATTCTCTTTATCTACAGTTACAAAGGAGATTAATTTGTTTTTTTTTATAATGAAGTGTAAATCCACTTTTTACAGGGCAGTTCACTCACTGCTAGTGGCTTCTTGCTCATCACAACGCATGTGCTGAATTTTGTCTGTGGAGAAGCAACTTAGAAAGAGTAAAACAATATGTTTATGCTCCGTCTGTATCTCTTCTCAGGAGTCAGGGAGATGAGGTGGAATGCCCTGGAAGCAGGCGCTGGGGATCGAGTGGTAGTGGCAGAAGGAACAGGAGGTGTGCACGGTACGGACTCCTGCCCTGCCTCTCTGCCCTTGGGGCTGCAGTGAGGTCACTGTGAGTGATTTATGCCTCAGTATCATAGTCTATTATAATAAACGGGGCTGCTATTCACATTGTCATGAGGATCTTCAGAGACGATATATAAAAATTCCTTTAAAAAATTTAAAATGTTGATATAATATGGATAAAGATAATAACAGATAGTACTCTAAAGAGGTTACAGATCACTGTATAAAAATAGATGGTGTTATTATTATGGAATGACTTACGGAATAAATAGGTTTTGATTTTCAAACTTACTTTTTTTTTTTTAATAATTTTCTTTATTTATTTAATTTTTCCCCCAAAGCCCCAGCAGATAGCAGCATGTCACAGCCACACATCCCCCCAGCCGCTGCACGCGGGACGTGGCCCCAGCATGGCCAGAGAAGCGGCGCGTCGGTGCGCGCCCGGGATCTGAACCCAGGCCGCCAGCAGCGGAGGCGTGCACAGCGAACCGCCAAGCCACGGGGCCAGCCCTCAAACTTACATTTTTTAAAATACATATTTCAGTTCCCTCTCAGAGCAGAAGCATTTTACTTTTCTTTTTTTGTTTGTTTTTGTTTTTTTTTTTTTTGTGAGGAAGATCAGCCCTGAGCTAACACCCATGCCAATCCTCCTCTTTTTGCTGAGGAAGACTGGCCCTGGGCTAACATGCGTGCGGATCTTCCTCCACTTTATGTGGGACGCCGCCACAGCATGGCCTGACAAGGGGTGCGTTGGTGCGCGCCTGGGATCCGAAGCCGGGCTGCCAGCAGCGGAGTGTGCGTACTTACCCGCTACGCCACAGGGCCGGCCCCCATTTTACTTTTCTTTATGACACGTTGGCTACTGCAATTCTGTTCTGTTCTCACCTTGGGCGGAAATGGGTCTCCAGATCCCACCTTGAGGAGGGGTACAGTTCATCTGGTCCTGATGACTCTTCCAGTGACCCGAGGGATGCCGAGGCTGGTACCACCAGATGGGCACCGTCAGGAAACCCTGAAGAATGGAGCATTTCTAACTGCTCTGATGCACACAGATTAAGTGAACTTCCCCTTCCACTTCCATAGAGAGAAACATCTTGATAACAGAAAATGTTTCTGAATTTATTATTTTTCCTTTTCGATGTATTAACTGCCATACATTATACTTGTCTACTATTTTACAATCAAGAGTTTAAAATCATAAAAATCAGTCTTTGGGATGACTGGGACTACATGTTCTTTCCTTAGAAGTATCTTAATAGCTACAATAATGAAGAAATTGTTCACAATATGTTCACAACGTGAACACAGTAACAAAATATTGGCCAGAACAAACTATATAAATACTTCCAGGTACTGTGAGAGCACCACCTGCACACACACCAGGTACAAGCAGTTTTTATCGATTAAATTCCTAAAAGAACTTGATAGAGAACCAACAACCTACTGATCTCAGCTGGATTCCCATATACAAACTACACGAAACAAACCCACTTCCTTAAACATATCCTATAATTTCAGTTTTACTAATTTAACTGGTTCTTCCTCATCCATTTTCTTGAGTTAGTAAAGAACTTTTAGTAGATTTCTTAAAGGATAAAACATGTTGTTACAGTGCTCAGTTTCCAACAATAAAAGATGAGAATGTAAAAAAAAGAAGAAAAATATTTCAAAAGATGCGTATTAAAATGAGAATATTTCTTTTTATCCAATTAGTGAAGATTAATAAATATGCAACTTCCACTCAACTAAATAAATAAATGTAAATCAGAATAATAAAATTCCATTTTTTCACCTATCAGACTAACGAAAACCAGGAAGTCTAATAATATTCTATATTGGTGAAAATACAGGTAAACCTGAATTCTCATAAATTGGTGGCAGGAGTATAAACTGCTGCAAAGTTTTTGGAGAGTTATCTGACACTGTCAAAATCTTAAATGCCCAACCCCTCTGGCGCAGCCACTCCACAGTTAGGAATTTCCCTTCTGCGACACTGGCCCAAGCACGCAAAGCCACAGACGCAAGGACAGTCACTGCAAATTGTTTATGTTTATCATGAAGCAAAACCTTGACCCAACCTCAAGGTTCCTCTTTAGAAGACTGGTTACATTATGGTAGGCCATAACTTTCGACAAAGAAATTTCAGTTCTAAGAATTTATCCTGTAGATATATACGTGGAAAATGGCACATATATGATATTTTTTGCACTGTCATCTGTATCAACAAAAGACTGGAAACAACCTGAATCTCTGAGAAGAGACTGGTTAAATAAACCCATCAAATAGAATGAGATAACTTTATGTGTACTGATACAGCATATATACGGAGATAAAACATTAATGAAAAAAACTAGGTAGACAATAGGGTGTTTAGCTTTTGTGTAAATAATCTTTTGTGTAAATAAAAAGAAAAAAAGACTATGTATATACACACAGATGTGTGTGTGTGTGTGTGTGTGTGTGTGTGCATGAAAAAGTATGTGCCTCTGGAAGGAAGCAGAGGAAGCTGCCTGCTTGTGGGCGGAGGACACCGAGTGGCTCGGGGACAGCAGGGGCACTTACTTTTCCTGGCCCAGCGTTTTATACACTTCGAATTTTGAGACTACCAATTCAAAGATTAACTTTAGAGCATGGTAGAAAATACAATAGAATTCTACGAAGTTATGAAAAGGAATAAGGTAGTTTCTGTTTGCGCCAACATGAGGAGATCCTCAAAAGATAGTAAGTGAATAAAAACAAAAAACAACAGGTGTTAAAACAATGTATAGAATACGATCTCCTTTATGTAAACTTTAAAAAGAACATGCACATATTTACATTCAGCATACAAATAGGCATAATTTTTTTCTTGGAAGGATATACACGGAAAAACAAGTTAACTGTGACTCTTTCTTGGGAGAAAGCTATGGGAGAAATTTTTGTTATTCATTTATGGCCTTCTGTGCTGTTTGAATTTTCTAATCATAAGCAAACGGTTATCTGAGTGCTGGAATTTTGGGTCATTTTTTTGTTTTCATCTTTACATGTGTCCACATTGAAATAAACTAAAAAATAATGGTTTTAAAAAGTGGTAATGTGCAGTGTTTATGAAAGCAGTGAAATGAGCCCTCTTATACTGCTGGTAGGACTGTAAATTTGGTACAACTCTTGGGGAAAACAATTTGGCAATATATAGCATCGAGTCTTGAAAAAGTTTATATCTTTTGACTTGTTAATTCCATCTTCAGAACTATCTTAAGAAGGATTTATATTTAAGTACTATTTGTAAAAACAAAAAATTTAAAACAAGCTAAATTTCCAACAATGGGGCTATAGGTGAATTAAACTGTGGTAAGTCATACACTGGATGTAATGAGCGTTTTTGGATTTTATAGTCAGGTTAAAAAATTAATCATAAAAGGTAGGAAATAAAATTGTATATATAACTGATTTTATAGGAAGGAAATATATAAAGATGTAAAATATGGTAGCTGTCTGATTGGTAGGACCTTGGTAAGTTCTCCATTCTCTGTATGATCGTCTATATTTCCCCATTTTCACACAATGAGAATATATCATCTTTATAACCAGAAAACAGTAATTGTTATCTACAAAATGTCTATTCAGAAGCAACATCTTACCAGAGGAGGAAGTTTTCCTTCAATTAAAAGCAAAGTATCTCCAGAACATATCATAAGCTCTTTCAGTGTTGCACCCTGGGAATACAGAAATTCTTTTTTGTCACTTATGACTTTTAAAAGGGACAAACAGATCATTTGATCTTTTTTTAAACCGTATGCCTCTATTACCCTTTCAAGAAATAAATACATGAATAATAAAGCAGATATTGAAGAGACAGGAAATAAGCTAAGACTATAAAACAGTATATCATTTTGTATTATGTATGAACTGTAAGTATCATAAAGATCAGAGGAAGGGAGATAGATGAGGTGAGAAATGATGAGAGACTGATTTACAGAAGATGAAATTTTAGTTAAGCCTAAAAAGATGGGTTGGATTTGGAAGGCTAGAAGAAATAACAGAACGAATTTCTCATGAAAAGAACAGGGAAAAGTCAAGGTCAAGTCAAGAATGAGTATGGATTGTTTTGGGGAGGAGCTAAGAGACTAGACTGATGAGGGTGGGAGCATCAGCTGGAGAGTAACAGGAAGGAAAACTGTATTGGAAGGGTGGTCACAGAGTGAAGGCATGTGGAACAGAAAAAAGGAGTTTTCAGCTGCTTTGAAAAAAGCCACTCAAGATTTCTGAGAAGGGGTTTTTAAAAGATCAATCTGGCTGCTACATGCATGACATACTGAAGTGTGGAACACCTGGGCTGAGGGAAGTCAGCTATAGTAATTTAGGTAGGAGGCAAAAAAAAAGGCTTGAACCAGGAGGACAGCAGTGAGAATGCTCAGGGAAGGAGTGGAAAAACTGACAGGCCTTTGAAGGCTGAGATCAAATATGAAGGATGGCAGGTAAGCAGGGTAAGCCCCATTTCAGGCTGAAAAAGATCAGGATGGGAAGGACACACAGCAAATGTGGGAAGAGGAGTCAGTTTGGAGGGTAATGAGTTTGCTTTTAGAGGAACTGTTTGATATCGATTGGGGAATTACTAGAGAAGAAAACGTGGAACTAGACATTTGACTAGACAGACTCTTCTGACATCCAAACTGTATGTCCTGAAGATTCTTTGAGGTCCACTTCTTACTCCGGGCAGTCAAATTCCTGGCCAAGGCTCAAGAGGGGCCTCTCTATATTGTAACTGACTGCTATACAGCAAACGGTGTTCCAGGGGAAGGCCCCAGTACACCTGCTTAAATCAACCTCTGTTGACATTCAATGCCACTGTCTATTACTGAACAGAAAGCAGGCAAACAAAGACTGGGAAAAAGGGTGGCTGACCACAATTGTCTAAGCTTTCTCACAAAGCTTCACTTTGGGTCTACTTCTAAGGCTATGGGTTTGGACTGGGAGGTTTGATGCTGTTTGGATCAACAATAAGATTAACCAGATTCCAACTATCCTGTAATAAAATTATTCCTAAGACTACCTAAGAGTTTGGCTGGATCTAGAGATGTAGTTTGGATCAGAGCCTAAGTGACTGGTTGGTTAGATGAATTCTGCCATGACTCACAGAGAATTCTGAGATTAAAAAATTCAGGTTTCAAAATTCAGAGTGTATCTTTAAAAACTTTCATTAGTTCAAATGTTTGTTCTCTGAAGTTCTCTGCCTCCTAATGAAGAACTACTATTCCTAGGGACACACTCTCTTATCTAAAGAGGACTTAGCACAGATGTTAGAAACATTCCCACTTAGCTGAGACTTTCCCTCTGATACCATCAAAAAAACTACAGTAAGGGGGCCAGCCCGGTGGCGTAGTGGTTAAGTGCGCACACTCTGCTGCGGCGGCCCAGCGTTTGCAGGTTCAGATCTTGGGCAGGCACCGATGCACCTCTTGTCAAGCCATGCTGTGCTGGCATCCCATATAAAGTAGAGGAAGATGGGCACGGATGTTAGCTCAGGGCCAATCTTCCTCAGTAAAAAGAGGAGGATTGGCAATAGATGTTAGCTTAGGGCTAATCTTCCTCACACACACACACACACACACACACACACACACACAAACCTACAGTATGGAAAAAGTGAAAGTAGACCCATATATAGATTTTTATATCCTAAAAAAAAATTAAACCTTTCTCTAGAATTTATTCACAAGTGGGGTAGGTATCCTGCATGAAAATACAAAATAAACACAACCATTTTTAAGAATAAAATGTATAGAAATATTCTTACTTCTTCACATAAAGGCTCCCCAGCTTCATAGCACCAATCCATTTTTCGTAAATGCCATGCGTTTCCTATGAAGGAATCAAAATCAGGATGAAAAAAAATTCAGAAGACTATGTTTTAAGAGTTTGTCAGGAATGACTCTTCTGGATAAATGAATATCAAATGGGATTTGATCTAATAATTAACTAATTTTTAAAGTAAATTATCTTTCCCAGAGCATGAAAAAAATTAAATTGTTCCCCCAATTTGGTTAATTTTCTCTCTTTGATCAAGAAGTACATATTTGCAAATAGAAGTAACACTTGCTACTATTATATGATATCTACATTATACCTTTATTATTTACATGTACACACATACATATACATCACACGAGTACAGATATATGTCCATATATACATAAGTATAGAATCCCTTCAAAAATCATCATGAAGTTATGTTTTATTTCACTGTCTTGGCTGAAAGTATATGCTAACATTGCTCAGCAACTGATAACGTGTAACAAAACTGTTCCTATCCACTTAGCAGTTAAGCTAACAAAAAATAGTGCTTTTGGAATAGCATTTTAATGAAGTTAGTATAAGTGAACATTTATAAATGTTAAATAGTCTTTAATTAGATTTCTGTTTTTCAGCACACCTGCTACACTGATGAAATGAGAAGAGAATTTTTTTGACGAGGAGAGGAAGATGAGTGGAGCAAAAGTGCGAAATCCTGGTTATTAAAAAAAACAGTCAAGTCCCCCACCCACCAAAAGAAGCTGCAGCCAAAGGAACAAACAGATCTCATGTTTACCCCATAGAGGCCACAGAGTTTGGATCCCAATACTGTTCTTTACAGACCCTCTTTTGTCATTAGTTCTAGTTTTAAATATAGAAGAGTTATATCAGTATTTAACTTAATCTAAGTATTTTTTTTTTTTTAAAAAAACACCACCAATAAGTTAAAAGTGAACACCATTACTTTATAGCACAGCATGGTGCAAAGAGCTTGGGTTCTGAAATCAGAAAGACCTAGCTTTGCTGTATAACTCTGGTAAGCCATTTAGCCATTCTCAGCCTCTGTCTTCTCATCTGTAAAATGGGAACAGGTGATGATCCCTGCATGGGAAGACTGCTGTTGAGAGGAAATGATACGTTGCACGTAAGCTTCTAGAAGAGTGCCTTGAACCCAGAGTGTGTTAACTTCCCTTCCAAATAATGGAGCCACAGGCTTCAACTTGAATGAGGTCTGAGAATGGCAAAGTGCTCTAATGAAGCAGTGAGATGCCTCATTAAGCTCACTAACATGACTGCACCCAGGGGGCTACTTCAAGATACCCTGGATTTATTTTTCCCATTCACATTACATTCCCTAATCTATAACACAGACAGACTGGCACGAAACACAATGCACTGAAGTTCTGAATCAAAGAGGTTAAAAAAAATCAGTGAAAGACCTGGGTAGTTCTAGAGGGTATGAATCTTAGCTTTACCTCTTTTGCACCTTTGCTGGACCCTATCTAGGTTCTCCTTCCTCAGTGGCAGGCTAACCTACAACCAGTTTTCTTTTAGCTTGCAAACAAGAACCAGAAGAGTTCATAATGTACATACAGAGATGTAAAGCGTGACTTACCACCCCGAGGAAAGCAGTCTGAAGAGTCTGTATTAGGCTTATAGATAATTTACTATAAGGAAAGGGAGTGGATAAGGTTATGCATCATCGTGGTCTGTACTTACCTGGTAGCCCAGATTTCTCCAGCATTATCTTTAAACACTGTAAAAAAAAAAAATGCGTTCATTAGTTTTCTGTTTCTGAGTTACAGTACTGAGAGAAACGCCCTTTTTGGACCCTGGGCCTATCTGAATCTGATTATATATAATAATTCTCAAATAGATAAAGATATACATGGTTAAGAGGGTGATTAAGTCAGCTCTCCTTCCTAAGGGTTAGGTGGGGCCAACTCAGGAGGGAAAACACAGTTTCTGGCATTTGCAACCAGAACTTAGTCCAAAGTTTGTTCATACACTTCCACGTCTGCAGCAGGACTTTCTTCTTACGAGGACTCACTGTATTTTTGACCAGATATGGTTAATGAAGGTGATCTCACAGACACACATTACACTCTGAATCCTGTAAAAGGAGAGTAGCCCTTACTTAGCACCCAGGAGACAGAACTGGTCACATATAAACTGGCTAGGAAAAAACTGGGCAAGCTGTGATCCCAGCGCACAATGCAACAAATGAGACACAATTAACAGAAATTTACATAAAACAACAATTAAAAGCTCTCAGCTTCTTGAGGGCAAAAACATTCTTAGATAAGTCTAGGACAAAAGAGTAAATAAAATTTGACTTATACTATACTAGGGCCGAAGGGAGCAAGAATCAGGATCATCACTGCTTGGAATAAGAGAAAAATGCAAACAACCAAAGTATCCATTAACAGGGGAACGTTTAAATAAACCATGAAAGATCTTAAAACAATTAAAAGGATAAAATAGATTTATATGTACTGGTCTTAAATATATTTTAAGTGAAACAAAGTTCTAGTATAATACATGCAGCATGATCCTATTTATGATTTAAAAGAAACCATACAAACAAGTCAAGCTCTTCATCTGTATATGTACATATATATCCACATGTTGGTATATGCACGGCAAAGGTACAGAAGGATACACACTGTACTGATGGGGACAAGATTATATCATCCAATGACAGTAGTGACTTCTGGGGAAGGGACAAGAATGGCGTGGTGACCAAGGGGGATTTTTAGCTCCCCATGAAGTTTAAAAACTAAGAGTAAATCCATAATTACTTGTATGATTAACAATAAAAAAGAGTTTAAAATATAATTTAAGGGGCCGGCCCGGTGGCGCAAGCGGTTAAGTGCGCGCGCTCCGCTGCGGCGGCCCGGGGTTCGCTGGTTCGGATCCCGGGCGCGCACCGATGCACTGCTTGGCAAGCCATGTTGTGGCGGCGTCCCATATAAAGTGGAGGAAGATGGGCACAGAT